GCCCTGCCACTCCCAATACAGCCCTGGCAACTCCTCTTCCCTCGCCCTCCGGCTTCTCGTTCAGCCCAGTGCCCCCTGGCTCACCCTCCCACCCAGCCCGGGGCACCCCTCGGTCCACCCCTGATTCTCACAATGCAGCCTGGGTGCCCCTTGTCCAGCTCCAGCACTGCCCCGGATCCATCTCCCTGTACCTCCCCATATACATTCTCAGTGCCCCTTATAGCGGTCCAGCCCTGCTTCTCACAATGCAGCCTGGGTGCCCCTTGTCCAGCTCCAGCACTGCCCCGGATCCATCTCCCTGTACCTCCCCATATACATTCTCAGTGCCCCTTATAGCCACATCTTGCTGCCTCCCTCTCTCCGCCTGTATAGCCCTGGCTCATCTAGTATAGTTTCAGCATCTCACCAGACTGTACTCCCTGAACAGTCCCTCCCCTAATTAATATAGCCCCATACCTAGTACTCCTTCAGCCTCTGTGTCTCCTCTCCCCACATACAGACCTTGGCTTCCACCCCAGCAGACTCAGCTCCCTTCCCTGTCTGCTTTCTATATACAGACTCAGCCTTAGTGCTCTTCCAGTCTCCCATAGCGCCCCAGCTCCTCCTAACTCCCCTTCCCACAGACCCCTGTATCTCTCTGGTCCCTCCTTGTCAGTGCCCCCCTCCCAGCCCCAGTTGCCCCCCCCCCAATACAGCCCCAGTTCCCCCTCTGTCCAGGCTCAGCTCTTGTGCAACACAGCCCCATCCCTAGTGTTTCCCCAGTCTCCTGTGCCTCCCTCCTCACAGTGCAGCCCCTGCCCTCTTCCCCCTCCCCAGTACAGCTTCAGTTCCCCTTCCTATTGCACCTAAGCCTCCCTTCCCCAATATAGCCCCATCCCCAGTGCTCCCTTCCTCTTTCCCCCAGGGCTCCCGAATGTAGTCCCATCCCTAGGACTCCTCTTCCCACAGCACACTGTATCTCCCCTCCCTAATGAAGCCCCACTCCCTTTCCCCAATTCCTGTTTGCCTCCCCCCCAGTACAGCCCCATCCTCAGCACTCCTGTTCCCCAGAGCCCCAGCTCTTAATACAACCCCATCACTAGTGCTCCCCCAGCTCTCCTGACATCAGCTCTCTTTTCCCCCAGTACAGACCCATCCCTAGTACTCCCTCTGGATCCTCCTCACCTAGCTCCCTGTTTGAGCTCCCCTTTCCACGTGCACCCTTGGGTCCCCAGCTTCCACTTCCATGTGCACCCCGGGATTCCCCCAGCTCCCGTCTCAGCTCCCCCCGAGCACCAAGAACCCCTTTCTCCACAGGCTCCCTCTCCTTTCTGGTCCTACCCTCTGGCTGAGCTGTGGGGAGAACTCTTTTCTAGGTTTGTGATAGTTACAGACTATTGGCATTTTAAATGTCTCTGACAGCTCCTGTCCTGAAACACTTCACAGACTGGGCATGGGTGATACCAAACCCAGTACGGGGAGAGTAGTCATAACAAGCGTCTACTTGGTATGGCAATTTCAGACTGTTCTGACTGCACAGTCAACACTTGGTCAGTAGTGTTTGAAGTGAAGGAGAATTTCCTATCCTGTCACTTCTCCAGCCCCCAAAGTGCAGCCTCCCCTGGCAGGGAAATGTCTTTGTTTAGCTGTGCACAGAGCAGGCTGTGAAAAGCAGTCGGGATGTGAACAACTAATCGACTATTTGATAAGCAAATGTTTATCGGATGGTCGACACACTAGTCGACTAGTCACTGTCCCTCCTCCCTCCCCTCAGCTGCCTCTATCAGCAAGGGGTGGGAAGAGGAGGGCATTCTTTAAAGCAGCAGTGCTGCGTGGAGCCTGGGGTCAGACTCCAGGCTCCATGCGGTGCTGCCGCTTTGAAATGCCGCAGGAAACACTGGGCCAGCGAGGGACTGCTTGAGTCCCCTGCTGGCCCTGTGCTCCCTGCAGCACTTTCGCCTTTGGAGTGTAGCAAGAGCTCAAGACTATTGCTACACTTCAACGGCAGAGCTGCACTTAATCGACTGATCGAATAGTTGATGCAGATTGCATCGACTATTCGATTAGCCAATTAATCTAAATTTAACATCCCTAAAAAGCAGCAGCAGCATGTGTAACTGCAA